ATAGGTTCTTATCAGCTCTTCATATAGAACAAATAAATCAGATAATGGAAATAACAAACAATTTGAAAGGTCGATTTAATATTCAAGGCAACAAAATAAACTAGATGAATTTTCTCAATATAATCACAACTTGATACAGGAAAAAAGTAATAAATATGTGTGTAGCTATTGTAAAGATGTTAGTCATAATTCTCATACTTGTGAATATAAAAAATGTACTAAATAGTTTAGAATATTTATGAATTTATTAACTCTTGTATATTAAAGCATATAATGTTGCTTTATATTATGGATAAAAATTTACTTGCTTAAATACACTAAACAACCAACTTTTATTTGAATTGATTATTATCTTAAAATTTTTATATTTTAATCTTGATCATATAGTTTGGTTTGTACAAAATATATTGAATCTACTGTATATTTGAATAGATCCAATTTTTTGTTGCCTTTTATTACTGAAGTTTAATCTTCAAACAAGACTTAATATTATATTAATCTATTGCTAACAGAACATATATATATAGAAATCAATTTATAAGAACAGATAAAATTTAGTCTTTAACATTTTATTTATATTAACATTAATCTATATTAATATTAATCCTATAATTTTTACTTATATATATATTTTTGCATTCTGAAGAGAAATATTGTGATTTCCTATTTAGAACTGAATTGAATGGTGAACACTTTATGTACTATATATATGTATGTACATACATATATATATAGAAGTAATGATCATTATAACAAATCTGAATATAGGAAGGTAAGAATGCTTAGTGATTCTTTTTTTATATAAAAGTTTTACACAAATTAATTAAGATCTATTAATTAAAAATAATTTTGAATTTAATCATTCTCATTTTATAATAGTTCAATTCTTGTCTAGAACATAAACATAAAAGACACTAATTTTTATGATTCTCTAAATGATTTCTAGAATACTATCATTTAAGTGTAATATAAAGTTATCTAGATAAAGCTTTGACTTCTTTACTTAAGAGAATTTATGATTATAAAAAATTGTAGGTAATATTTTCTTAACTTTTTATTGTGAAATTCTTTAATTTTATATTGTTGCTTATTATATACAAATTTATTTTGTTGAACTAGCTTGAAAAACCAAACATCTTGTATTATTATCTCAGGATATTGATACTTCAGGGAATGCTATCATATATTATCCTAGATATTAATCTCATGTCATAGTATTCTTAAAATTATTACAAAGTATATTATAAGTTACCTGGTCAATTAATTTGAATCAGTGACAATAATTTTATATTGCAGTAAACTATTAATTATGTATGCAACTATGATATTTTTCATGATTATGCACAGGGTTGTCATTGGACTTATTCCAGTCTCTCATGAGTTGCTGGACTGGACTGGACTGGATTTTGTATAATTCCAGTCCAGTTGTTTTGTCCAGTCCAAATGGCGCAGTTTATTGTCATTGGACAAAGTCCAGTTAATTGATTGGACTAAGTCCAGTTCAGTCCAGTCCAATGGACCTTATTAGTCCACTTTTAATAGGTTTACACATTGGTCAGGCTTATTTAAACATGTATAACTTATAAGATAAAGATCCTTTACGATAGCAATAAGGTTTAATTATGTTAATCGAACCAAGATTTCTGATATATATGAAAACTCTTAAGATAACTTGGAACCTTAATTTTTATAACCGGATAATTCAAAAATTAATATTTTTAAATATTATGTCATATTCGATCACACACATTTGACTTTTTAATTATAAACCTTACTACAACAATTCCGCCACACCATACATACCCACGGGTTGACATCTGAAATTTTGAATAATAAAATTTGCTTCTAGCTCAAATAACCTATCATAACAATTGCTATATTTGGCTACAACAAAATAGTATATTCGATAGCACAACTTTATATTATAACATTAAGATATACTGTAAGAAGCAGTTAATATTATAATAAAATAAATATGTAATATATAAAAAAAATAAAAAATAATAATAAATCAAAGGTAGTAAATGTTTATTATGGCTTTCGATTATTTAATATTTATTGGACTACAATTGGACTAGATTATCTAAGTCCAGCTACTGACCGTCCAATGGACTGGACTGGACTGGAACACGTGTTCCAGTGGACTGGACTAACCCAAGTGACAACCCTGTGTTAATCATATGTCGTAAAGAACGTCAAGATTTACGAAATTTGTGACTACTGTCATGGGTTAATTAGTAACCTTGAGATGTTGTAGTGCTGCGATCGATCAGGATCGGTCGTATACTCAAGAGAAATGTCGTAATTAATGACGCAGAGATCAGTGGTGCGTTTGAGTATAATTGTTAGTTTGCATGAAAGTAATAGTTTATTTAAAAGTCAAAATGGCGCGGTCGGAAAGTCAAAATGGCATGATCAACACATGATGTATTTAGTAATAGTTAAAATTGTATTTATAAGCAAAGCGAAAATAAAAGAATTAGTAAGTGCTTTTACTTTGAATAAACTAATCGTTCGGCTAAATAAAATGAATACTTATCGTGAGTTTGTGCTTGAGCCGTTGTAAGGATCGTTCTTGGCTCTGCTGAGTGGTCGCCTTTGTGGGCGTTGGGGTGTTGAGCCTATATCGGTGGAGTACCCAGTCTAAGTGGATAGCCAAGTGAGTAGACTCTACAGGGGAAGCCCAACGAATACCCACCTATACTGCGAATAAACGTGACACTACGATTGAAGAAGAAATAGTGATAGAGATTTTGAAGATTTGTATGTTTTATGAACAGCAATAATAAAATTCTTTACAGTAAATTTATATACACCTTGTTACAGGATTAACAAGAAATCATATTTAAGAGGACACACAATATTATGATCTACCCGTGATTACAAATTAAATAATTTTTTTTTAATACACAGTAACTAAATACGTATAACGGAATCTCGAAATAACAGTGATTAAAATGGCTAAGTAAAATCTTGATATAACCGATTCTCGATATAACAGTGATTAAAATGGCTAAGTAAAATCTGATATGACGAACTCTCTAAATAACAGTGATTAAAATAGCTAAGTAAAATCTCGATCTCGATATAACAGTGATTAAAATGACTAAGTAAAATCTTGATATAACGGACTCCAAAATAACATTGATTAAAATGGCTAAGTAAAATCTTGATATAACGGACTTTCGATGTAACAATGATTAAAAATGGCTTGATATAACAAACTTTTCGATATAACAGTGATTAAAAAATGGCTAAGTAAAATCTTGATATAACGGACTCTCGATATAACATGATTAAAATGGTTAAGTAAAATCTTGATATAATGGATTAAAGTTTAGACAAATTCTGCTTGATATAATGGATTTACTAATAAACTCACATATTGCGTATTTTAATTAATCTCTAATTGCCCAACAATACTTTATATCAAAAATTACTGTGTACTACTACCCTATAAAAAATGTTGATCCGTGTTTATTATTCCAGGTTTTTTCCATGAATGTTTCATTTTCATGGAATTTATAACCTTAAATAATGGAACTTTTCATCTCTCTAACACGGATATCCGTAAATGTATCATTTTCATGGAATTTTTACGGAGACCACGGAGAAATAATGGAAATATTCGAATAAAATTTTTTTATAGGGCTAGAAAATGAAAAAAACTCTATACATATAAAAAACCTACAAACTAATAAGTATATAAAAAACATTTTATTACGTGTAAAGTGGGGTAAATGTGATATTTATTATTAATAAATTCGAATTTGTCAAAAATTTACGCAATATCTCTAAATTTGCAAAAACCGACTAAATCTAAATATTAAGCAGGGTCTTTTGTTACAAAAATGCTTGTACCTCTTCAAACTAAACAGTTAAGAATAAAGTTTATTTGAACCTAATTTAATGGGGATTTCAAAATCAGAAAATTTTATTTATTTTAGATTATTCTTGCATAGTTTAACACTCGACTAAGTATAGCGCTAAAGATGGTTACGTAGTCAAAAGATGTGTTCTTAAAAAGTACTGTATAACATGTGGGGAATGGACTAGGAAAACCTAAGAAAGCAAGTATCAGACAGTGATTTTCCCAATCCATTACCCATATGGGGAATGGACTAGGAAAACCAGATAAGGGTTTTCCTAGTCCATTCAAGTCACTAGGGATGGATCAGTCCGGTCCTAATAAGACCGATCCATTAACGTCTTTTGGTCCGGTCCCAAAAGTGGTCCCGACCTCTAAATATCCTATTGGCTAGCGGAGAGAATTAAATCATATAACATCGGTAATTGAAATAAGCGATTGCCTAAAATAATTTTTTAGTATATATTTTTTAATTAGCTATTTATGAACTGGTTTCAGGACCGGGGACCGGGGACCGGTTAAAAAGACCGGTCCTTATTCGGTCTTTCCAGGACTGATCCATCCCTACAAGTTACCGGGCAATATGATTCACATCGACGCCGACATCACAAAGAATGACAATTTAATATTTTATTAGTTGTGGGTACAATTGTTACGTAGTAAATTGTCACTACGTGATATAGAGTAAATGGCAAGCCGGTATATAGTTTTCGAGAAAATGAGACGTACCGGTAACCTATTATCGTTATACACTGTTTTGGTTAACTGTGGTTTAATGTGATAAATCCAACAATTTCTGTGATATCATTTTGTACTTTTTTCGCTCAAATGCGATAAAATTTTTTTCCAAACCTTATAACGTAGCTTCTCGACAAACGTGCTCGTAATTTACGTTGATTCATTGTCTACCTTTCCGGGATTTAACGGATTTATGGTGATTTTTATGGTTAGCTGTTTTTAAAAAAAAAAAAATTCACTGTTTTCTGTGATCGCAGTAAATCATCGTCTTTGTACTGTAGTACGTAACTGTAATCGAAAATTTCACGTGTATGTAAATCTACCCCTTATTTTTGGCGTAGAAACTTAAACTATAAAAATGCAATTTTTTTTTTTTACACAATCATCATAAATCATGTCTTCAGTAAACGGTGAAAATCCAAAAATTCTACAAAATTTTATCGATGGTCAATATGTAGACCCTGTTAAAGCATCCTCAGTAAAGTATATTCCAGTTACAACACCACATACGGGGAAAATTATCGCTCAATGCCCAATTTCCACCGCTGAAGATGTAGATAAAGCTGTTGAAGCAGCAAAGAAAGCTTTCAAAACATGGAGGTATCTATCACTAAATTAATAATGGTTTACTTATTTGTTCAGTTTAATTAAATTTTTTTTTTAGTTCTCGTACGGTTAAGGATCGTGTACAAGCTTTGATTCGATTCCATAATTTATTATATGCACATATTGAAGAATTAGCCGACCTTATCATATTAGAACATGGAAAAAATAAATCCGAAGTATGTTTATTTATTCAGTCTATTTTATTTAATCCATTTATCATATAAAATATGAACAATTGATTATATTTCTAGGCAATAGCAAGTATTTCTAAAGGTGCCGAAACTGTAGAATATGCCATGTCACTTCCCCAGCTGGTATATATTTATCAGAATTACTTTTTTTTTTTCTAAGAGTATCAATTTATTCAATTATTTTATTATTTCTAGATTCAAGGTAAAATTTTGGATGTTTCTAGAGGTGTCTCATGTCAAGATGCTCGCGTCCCCTTGGGTGTGGTTGCTTCTATCGTACCTTTTAATTTTCCAATCATGGTAAATCATTATCTGAATTTTATGTTCATATTTATCTTTATACATTTGAATATAGAATAGTTAAATGATTGTATATTCAGGTTCCTTTCTGGACTTTGCCGATCGCCATTGCTACCGGAAACACTTTAATTTTGAAACCTTCTGAAAAAGTTCCTATGACTATGAATCGTGTTGTTGCCCTTCTAAAAGAGGCTGGTATACCAGATGGTGTTGTAAATATAGTAAATGGAACGGTTGATGGTAAATTCTATATTTCTTTATAAATTTAATAAATATGAAATTTGGAGCTCTTCTTTTTAAACTACTTTTTTTTTAATCAGCCGTCAATTCAATTTGTGATCATCCGGATATCAAGGCAGTAACATTCGTAGGAACTTCACATGTGGCTAACCTCGTTACTGAAAGGTGCCAAAAATTGGGAAAAAGAGTTCTTGCTTTAGGTGGTGCAAAGGTTCATATTTTATTTTTGAATATGAATTTCTTTAATAAACGTATTAGATGTTTCTAAATATAATATACTTTTTACAGAATCATTTGATCGCTGCGCCTAATTGTAATATTGAATCAACATCAACTGATGTCGTAAACTCATTCTCAGGATGTGCAGGTACTTTGATTTTCATATCTACTCTCTCATATAATATTATAAATAATAATTTTTCAAATTCTGTTAATCATTTATTAAAGGACAACGTTGTATGGCGGCTTCGGTCCTTTTGACCATTGGCCCACAACAGGAGCTTCTCGATCTTATTTGTGCTAAAGCTTCTAGCATAAAACCAGGTGTAAAGCCTGGTGAAGTAGGCCCAGTAATTGACCAATTATCACTTGATAAAATCACAAACTATATCATCGATTCTGAACGTGCTGGTGCTAAAATTCTTGTTGATGGTCGCCATTGGACCTCACAAAAAACTGAAGGATTTTGGATTGGTCCAACTGTTATTCTACATACTAATAAAAATGATAAAGCTTTACATGATGAAATTTTTGGTCCAGTATTAAGCGTTTATCAATGTTCTAGTAAGGAGGAAGCTATTGAAATCGAGAATGGTAATCCATATGGCAATGCGGCTTGTATATATACCACAACTGGTTCGACTGCTGAATGGTTTATTTCAAGATTTAGTGCTGGAATGGTTATTATTATTTATTATTATTTATTATTATTTATTATAATTTATTTGTTATTTCATTTATTACATTCTTTTATTAATTTTTTATTTTTTTTATTTTTTTTATTTTTTTTATTTAGTGTGGGGTGAATATTGGAGTTCCAGTGCCTAGGTAAGTTTATACTAACAAACAATTATAATTCAATAAACGTTGTATCTATGAAACTCAAAAAAAACTTAAATCATTTATTAGAGAACCATTTTCATTTGGAGGAATAAATCGATCCAAGTTTGGAAACTTTATGGACATTACTGGTGAAGGCGGTGTTGAATTTTTCACCTGGAGACGTAAAGTAACAACTAGATGGGGTACTGGTGACCTTGATTTAAAATTAAAAATGTAGAATAAAAAAATTAAATTAAATGTCTGTCTACTAATTATTACTATTATTAGTACTGCTGTTATTAGTTGTATTAATTTTCCTTTTATTAGTACTGCTGTTATTAGTTGTATTAATTTTTCTTTTAAAAGTTTTAATTAAATTCTAGTATATGAAATAATGTGTTTACACATAGTTTTATTGTATTTTGACAATTATATATGATTTTGTTAAATAAATTGGCAAATAATTTATAAAGTTTCAATTTTATTATAATTTATTATATTCGAATATTACGATATAAAGGTTCTGTCGACTAATTTCGTCGAATTCAAGCATTATACATTAATCACCTTTAGTACTTTTTCGATATATAAATTGATATTAGTTTAAATGTTAAAATGTCTTTTATTTAACTTAAGAATAAATTTACTTAAAAAAAATTAAATCAGGTCAATTACCACGGAGGTTACATATACTTAAAATGTAAATAGCGGTTAAAGGGTATAAAAACCAGCTAATTTTAAATTAGAACTTGTCGGAAGTTAATAATAGTTTTTCTATAGGGCTGGAATGCAGTTAGCTTATAATGAAATAATAATCCTTCTGAAATTCGCCATTACCTTAGGTTTTTTTAAAAAAAATGGTATTAGTATAAAAAACATTAAAAAGCACATATCACAAATTATTTTAACCTAACGAATGACTAATATTATATGGAAGTGATGGAAATTCATGATCCATCGCAAAGTTACTGAGTTTAGTGGGCACTAAAATAAATTATTTCTTAGTTACAAATATACGCAATTTAAAATATTTTTAATACTGTTAATACCTTTAACCACATCATTTAATTTGCTATAATAATTATTTTGAAGTGTATTCAATGATTTTAATAGTGTTTTTTAATTTCACTGTCTGCATTAATGAATTTATTTTTTATATCAGGTTCTTTGTTTTTTAATCATACTGATTCTACAATTGCTTTCCATCGAATAATTTCTGAATGAATTTTTTCAGCAATAGGCCGTTTATGTTCTACCGAAAGATTAATATTAAATTCACGCTCTTCATAATGCCTTTTTTCCAGTTGACATTTCTGCCATGATAATGTCGTGCCTGAAGTTAACACTTGCCTGAAGTTGTGAAGTTGTAACTCCAGGCACCGGAAATTACACTTGCCTAAAATCGCCTAAAATTACTAGCTAACGCGTGCAAAATGATTTAATTTCAGGGACTAATCTCAGTAAAGTGCAATTTTCAGTTACAACTTCAGGCACCACAGATTTTGACAATACAGGCGTCTGTAACGTAAAAATCAAAACAATCGATATTAAAATCAATAAACCACATCTTTAAGGTTAGGATTAAGGCGAAGGAAGGTCATAAGTTATACTAAAATTTTTTGTTAGAACGCAGAAGACAATTTCTTAGACAAAATTTCGAGTTATCTGATCCTTCTATCTAATTGGCTAAAGCACCCACAAAATTTTTCCGGCACGTAATTTTTAGCCAATTCGCGAAAGCAAAACAATCGAATAAGCGAAAGATTTAGTGCAATAAATATTAGGGTTGAGGTCAAGGGATGGGGATAGGTTATACTTGTGGGTGAGCTAGAGGAGGGGTTATCTTTATACGTAATCATTGTTTTTCACGCACTTTAAATTCGTTCTATATAATAATAATTCTAATAATATTTGTCTAACATTACTCTTGGTCGTATATACCAATAAATTTGCCGGATAATCAGAAGGGTAAGATAGTCAGGTTTTATATCAATGATTTATATCGTATATAAACGGACTTGGTAGATTAATTTTTATGATACGTAGTATTGATTTTGGGAGGTTTACTAAAGACATTTTATCATTTCATATGTCATAGAACAATTCACATCCCAACCCAAATCCAAAGTAGTAAAAGTTACACCGACGACAGCTGAAAAAAAATCAGCTGGTTCTATCGGAAGGATTACAGAAGGCCTATGATACTTTGGGTCCAGATAGTGCTATGTTTTATCATAGTCTTAAAGACAACGATTCTAAAATTTCTTTCTTAATGTTATAGAATCATTGCGAAAAGGCGAACGTAAAAAAGGAGTATGTTTTTTTGCTTATGTTTTGTTTTCTTTACCTCATCATTAAAAATTGTTTAATAATTATTTAGATTCTTCCTATTCTCAGTTTTTTTAAACTTATCTAATAGGAATCAGTCATTAACTTACTCGTTAATTGTGCCGTACTTGTTATTGTTGCTTGTTTTATTGTGGGTAATGCAGTGTCCAAAAAATGTATTATATGAAATAATTTCATATATTGTCATATATTCCGTTCAATATCTTATTAAGAAAATTTTTCTTTATGCAACATATTCATCAATGCCATAGTTGCTTAATTACTATTTTGATTATAATATATTTTAAAGTCGGATCAACTTCTGCAATAGTTTAGTTGGGACGTGAGTATTGTTTTCTGATTGGATCTCGAAGAATATTAATCTAATGTAAATCATGAAACATTGAGCAAACATCCTTATTATACGGTTAAGTCAAAAATGATCATATCCGGTAAAAAATCGATCCATAATGTTCATTCCGTAGTCCAAACCCGATAATCTGCCAATTCTGTTCAGAAATACAGTGTTATATGCAGCATTTGGAGTTATAAATATTCGAGATTTGATTTTTTTGCTTAACTCTCATCAAAAGAAGTATGCATCAAAAAACGGTTTTAGTAATTTGTGTTTAAGTACAACTGATTCTTGATATAAGAAAGTCACTGATCCCAGTCAAAAATCTTTTTCATATCGAGGTTTTCTTATATCAAAGACTTTTTATTATAAAATTCTCAATTGGCTTATAGAATCTTTCTTGTATCAAGAGTTTCTTATACCGAAGATTTCTTATATCGAGAACTACTTGTACTAAGTAAAAATGTTATACTCGAAAGAATCACAATCTTTATCTAAATCTAATGTTAATTACAAAGTCTAATTTTTCACTTTTACTAAAACGCATCTATGGTGGTTTTACACCCATAGTTGACAGTAGAATTAATTTTACAAATTGATACGGCCACGGCACATGCCGTATTTTTTGCCGTAATTGCTTTGTGTCGTAATGCCGTAATACTGTAATATCGTTATGTGGAAATATCATAATGCCGTTTGTCTAAATGCAGTATTGTATCGTGTTCTTTCCTCAAATCAGCTGGTATTATATATTTTAAAATAATTTTTTTAGTATAATCAATATCAGGAAAATGATACGGTCAGCAAAATCATCAAGAATTATAGAAAACGATTATATGGATATTTGCTAAGAATTAGGATACTAATCCATGTGGATAATAATACTTCAAATGCTGTTTATTAAATGTAGACGATTCAAGTCATTTAAGTAGTACGTATCAGTGAAGGAAATCTGAAATTTTTTTTTTGTTTTTTGAAAACATAAATTTTAGAGTTAATGTTCTTATTAATAAAATTTTACTATATTCAAAAAAATATTATGTTCTCAAAATACTATTAATTATATTAAAAATTAAAAAATTTTATGTTCTCATAATGAGAACATAATTTTTAAATATTATGTTCCCAAAAATGGTTTTAATGTTCTCTAGAACGTTGAGAACATTAGATTTCCAACACTGGTACGTATCAGTACTAAATTGGTCAATTCTTACGTGATAACTGGGTCAACCAAGTTATTCTTGTTATTAGAAATGACTCGGTTTGTGATTTGAAAACAGGTGTGCAATAGCAAATCTAGAGTAACATTCGTTTCGTCAAATCGCCTATTTTTTGAAAATCTGCAAAGAACCACCTTTAGTGCTCTAACAAAAAGTTCTTGATGGGCAATTTTACTAAGCCAAAATTAATACCGCAAGTGCCAAAAAGTGCCAAAAGCCCATATGAAACACTAACCTCTAACCATAGTATAAGCACTGATCCTAACATAAACGAATTTTTGCTGTGCCACCAATCTGCACACATTCAAGCATTACGGTATACAATATTTTAGCAATTCGAATTAATTCTACCATATGAAAAAAAAAGCTACAGTGCTACAATTCAATAATTTTACAACCAACTATACACATCATTAACCAAAATTTTAATTCGTGATAATATATTGCATTTTGAATATAGAATACTATATAGTTATTGTCTGCTACGCATTCAATAACTATATATTACGCATTATAGTTAGAACTAGAAAAAACAGATACTGTTAGGTATCCGGAGCATAAGCTTAGTTAAAAATAAAAGTAAATGTATTGGTTGATATAGTTGATAAATTGATGATCATCTATCTAATAATAGGTGCGGACATAAACACACACAAAATCTGGTCTATTACTTCCCCATAATATCCTCCGCTACGCTGGATAATTATCTATAATTAGAATTATCCGTAAAGTACTGTATATATTTTCCTGACGAGTGCGCTTATGGAGGGTTGACCATATGCAGGCGGTGATCCAGTGATTAAATTTATGCATAATATTTACGACAATCAGGTACTGATTCTACCATCTAGTAAAATGTAATGCAATAATTTAGTAATTCTACCGCCAACTATATTTGCACCTATGCATCATTATCTCAAAAACTGGCTAATTAATTGGTGCAGGGTAAAGAGATTAACAATTGTATGAAAGGTTTTCCACTTAGAACTAGTGTACAATGTATAATGATATGATTATAGATTCGCTTGGAATATTTGAAAATGAAAGGTTAAGGTGCAAATGAAATTAACAACAATTCTTATATGTACACTAACAAAACTATG